TCTCAAAAAAAAAAAAAAAAAAAAAAAAAATACCCAAGACTGGGAAATTTACAAAAGAAAGGTTTAATGGACTTACAGTTTCACATGGCTGGAGAGGCCTCACAGTCATGGTGGAAAGCAAGGAGGAGCAAGTCATGTCTTACATGGATAGCAGCAGGCCGAGAGAGCTTGTGCATGGCAACTCCCGTTTTTTTTGTTTTGAGACAAAGTCTCACTCTGTCACCCAGGCTGGAGTGCAGTTGCGACATCTTGGCTCACTGCCTCTGCCTTCCAAGTCCAAGCAATTTTCCTGCCTCAGTCTCCCAAATAGCTGGGATTATAGGTGCGCGCCACCATACCCAACTAATTTTTTTATCTTTAGTAGAGATAGGATTTTTTACTATGTTGGCTAGGCTGGTCTTGAACTCCTGACCTTAGGTGATATGCCCATCTCGGCCTCCCAAAGTGCTCGGATTACAGGCATGAGCCACCATGCCCAGCTGAAACTCCCATTTTAAAAACCATTAGCTCTCATAAGACTTATTCACTATCACAAAAACAGCAGGGGAAAGACCCACCCTCATGATTCATTTTATCTCCCACCAGGTCCTTCCCACAATGCATGGGAATTCAAGATAAGGTTTGGGTGGGAACACAACAAAACCATATCAGTAAGGGACAGAAAGGAGCAGGACACAATCAAATGAAGTAAGCTGCTAACCAGCCAGAAGAGGGCTCCTTCTGTGTCACCTCCAGACGTTTTTAAAGCCATGCATTTAAGTCACACACGCTAGTAGGCAGAATACGTCTTCCCAAAGATGTCCATGTCCTACTCCTCAAAAGCTGTGAATATGTTACTTGTGAATCTAACCTGTGAAATGAATTACATGACAAGGAGGAATTAAGGTTGCTGATAGAATTAAGGCTGCTAATCTGCTGATCTTTAAATAAAAATTAGCCTGGTGGGCCCAGTATAACAAGAGGAGTCTTTGAAAATGGAAAGAAGAGTCAGAGATTTAAAGATGCTGCATTGTTGCTAGCTTTGAAGATGAAGAGAACAAATCAAGGAATGTAGTAGGCAAGCTCCAGAGGCTGGAAAAGGTAAGAGACCATTTTCTCCTTGAGCTCCCAGAAGGAGGCACCCTTGCAGACCTCTTGCCTTTAGCCCAGTGACAACCATTTCAGATATCCAACCTCCAGAATTATACAACGATAAAGTTGTGGTTTGTTAAGCCACTGAGTTTGTGGTGACTTATTACAGCAACAACAGGAAACTGATACACACAGGGAGACCAAAATCTCCACAAAGTTCCTAAAGATGATTTGTAGTTTATTAAATTTTTTTTCCCCAAACACTGATATATCCATCCCAAGAACTGTGCTGAATGCTGAAGGTTCAATGATAACAGCTCCTGCTCACAAGGAGCTCATAGCTGGTCAAACAGGGCCTGCTACCTAACAGGTATTCCATATTCACTGAATGGGGTGGATGAATATTTAGATGTATGGATCGCCCTCCATGACCTGATGCCCTGCTACTTTACTGGCACAGTCTTTTGTCTCTTCCTTCCTCATTTTTACTGCCCTTTGCTGTTCTTTGAATCCATTAAACTTGCTCCTGCCTCAGGGCCTTTGCACTTGCTGTTAACATCTTAGAATGTTCTTCTCTTAGATATCTGCACATTTTGCTGAATGATTTGGGGTCTCTTCTCAATGCCACCTTGTCAGAGAGGCCCTGTTTAACTACACTCCCATCATGGCCACATCATCTTCCAGATTCCTTGCCTGGTTTTATTTTTCTCCATAACTGTTTATCACTTATTCTTAAGGTGACTCTTCTGGTTAAGGGAGTGAGTGAGTCCTGAAATCCAGCCCACTCTCTGTTCCCAAAGCTGTACTCCTTAGCAGGGGCCTGAGTCTGGCTGAAGGAAGAGGCTTTTTCCAAATTCATACAATGTTGCCGCATACTCCCTAAGCTATGTGCCTTTTTGTAACTTGTAGAGACACCATATGTTTACTGGCAGCTCTGTTTTCCTTCACCTAGTAGAATATAAATTCCTCAAAAGCGAATTATTATCTTATTTGTTCACCTTTGCTTTCCTATGGCTTAGAACATTATCTGGCATATAGCAGGTATTCAACAAATATTTTTGTCTGGGTGGATGGATAGATGTATGGAGACTGGAGAAACTTGCAAATAAACAGAAGTGCCAATATAATGTGAGAGTCATGATAAGATTGTGGACAGGATGCTTCAGGAGGTCTGAAGCAAGGCATCTAACCTTCTCTTGAGAGACCACAAAAATGTGTTCCAAGACAAAGTTTATTTGTATTTCCTTGTCTTAAATTGCAGTTCCTGGGGTTAGAATAGTTTGGAAATAATCATATTTGATTTGGAATTGGAAGAGCCTGTAAACACCCTCCATACTGCTTCCTCTATGCAATTTCTGCAGTAACAATGCTTGCCTCCTCTGCCTCCAGATCAGGGGAGGGAATGTGAATACACAGTGGAAAAGTACTATCTACTTAAATTAGTGGGATTCCATTCCAGAGTTAGTGAACAACTAAAAGGGCATACACTACAACTAAAGTTTACATTTGGGGGACAGGGTTAGGATGGCAAGGAAAGAAAGTACCACAGAACTTCAAGAGTCTTCAAAGTTCTGGCTGACAGAGTGGCTCCCACCTGTAATCCAAGCACTTTGAGAGGTCGAGGTGGGCAGATCACCTGAGATCAGGAATTCGAGACCAGCCTGGTCAACATGGTGAAACCCCCATCTCTACTAAAAATACAAAAATTAGCCAGGCATGGTGGTGCACACGCCTGTAATCGCAGCTACTGGGGAGGCGAAGGCAGGAGAATCACCTGAACCCGGGAGGTAGAGGTTGCAGTGAGCCAAGATTGCACCACTGCACTCCAGCCTGGGCCACAGAGTGAGACTGTCTCAAAAAAAAAAAAAAAAAAAAAAAAAAAAAAGTCTTCAAAGTTCTTTCATTTTGATTTATAACTTTTACAGATGCAGGCAACGTGCTTCTGGTTAGAGCTAATGAAATGGAGGCCAAAGCAGAGTGCTGGCTTTAGGAATGGGAATTCAGTGCCTGTTCTGGTTCTATTTCCTTTCAAAATTATCAGAAAAAGCAAGTTTAGAAAAGAGACATTACCTTTAATATACTTATAATCTCATAGCCATTTCCTACAGTGAAAGAACACTGAAACCTTTCAATTTGACGACCAACTTAACAAGGAGTAAGAGAAATAAATATTGGAGAACAGGAAACAGGTTCTTCCTTTTTCCTCTCATACATGTTAGATGCTGTTCATAGAGTCACAAAAATCGTTTACCCCTTACAGAAACCTGGAACCAGAAGAAGCTTTAGAAAGCAAGTGGTACAAATACCTTCACTATACAGACAAAAACATTGGGAGTCATTGGTTGTAACTCAGCCCAGGCTACAGCGTCAAAATCAGAACCCTGACATTCTGAAATCAAGTTCATTGCTGTCATCATTGTCCCCTGCTAAGAGTTTTCTTAGGAAAAAGAATGAGGGGGGGATCTTTTCAAAATTGTAGAAAGCTACTACAGAACTTGAAGGTACAGATTTAAATCTTGAGTTAACAGACCATACAGATTTTACTTAAGAGATATTCAAGCAAACTCATTTAAATAACTCCTCCAATCTAACTCTAGAAAGCCCTTCTTGGAAGTCTTCGATCAATGGCAATTAAACTTCCATCCTAGAGCTGGAAAGAGCAAACACCAAATGTAAATACCATCTTTCAAATTCTCAGTGTTCTCTGTCTCTCTACCTAGTCTGCTCTTTTCTGAAAACAACTGAGGCACATTCACTCCAAACCTGACTTGCTAGGGGCCTCGTCTATGACACGGTTCAAAATAACATCCTTCAACATAGCGCTGCAAGAGCTGGAGCTGTTTGTTTGGGTATGGCCACAAGTTGCCTCTGCACCCCGTGTGGATGACACACTCTGTGTATTCCAGGCCAACGAAAGGGTAAGATATGGGCGCATAATTTAGGGCTAAGTCCTAAATGTGCCCGACTCCCTCGCAGAACAGCTAACCCTTAGCAGATCTAGGAGTCAATTTCTTACCCCACTCACTTCCTGCAATCCGCTTTCCTAACCATGCCTAGCTCCAATCTTACTGGGTAACACACTCGGTGCCAGCACAGCCAACAGCCGTATCTGGGCCTTTCCTCTGGGGTCCAGAGAATCAGAGCTCCCGAGTTGCTGTGGGGGTGCACCGCGGCCGGGGGTCGTCGCCGAATGAGCCCGCACCCCTCGCGGCTTTAAACTGGTAGGGTCGTGGGGCCCGGCGCTCCCTTCCACTGTTGGACGGAATGTTATCTCCTCTCGCGCCTTCACCTCGGAGGGGTAAGGGTCTCGTGCGATACAACACGCCGACGCCCGTTGTGGGGCGAGCCCGAGGCCTTGCGGGGACCGGAAGGCGGAGGGGGCGGTAAGAACTGCGCGAGGGCCGAGCCGACTGGGATCCTCCGAAGCGGAAGTGCCCCTTGGCGCCGGGGCTTCAGGCGCTCCCAGCGGCCCAGGAGCGTTCCGTTCCCGTGGCAACGTGATTGTGTCCTCGGCCGGAACCTGGGCTGCGGAAGCTAACGGGGGACCTCCCGGGCTGTGGAGTTTCCGCGAGGCACCGCTTTGGCTCCCGGACCGAGGTCGGCCAGGGTCAGGAGGTCGACGCAGCCCGAGGAAGCCGCGCGGCCCGGCCGAGGGAGCGGGGACGCTGGTTCCGGGGCCGGGCTTCCCCGCCCTGGGCCAGGTGCGCCGCCCGCGCTCGCGCGCCCCCTTAGAGCGTCCGCGGTGGGGGTACCGCCGTCAGGGAAGGAGCCCACGCCGCACTGGGCGGAGCTCGGCCCGCAGCGACGGGGCTTGCGGAGTTCCCGCCGAACCACTGCGGGAAGAGAGTAGCGATTTGTACTGGAGACGGGGGCCGGAGTTGGGTGTTCGGCGCCAGGCGGAACGTCATAGGAGCAGAGTCCGGGAGTTTGAGAGATCAGAACTCCTTGCTGTGGGCATATTGTTGAAAGTGGAGGTTAAAAAGAGAAATTAGTGAGTCTCCCCTTCTGATTTTCGGATAGGGGATGCTCTGGAGCCTGGGTCAGAAAGCTACTCAGGGCTGGGCAGGACTGAGTGATTCTGGAGGGTGAAATGAGAGGCGACTTGGATGTTAACGTTCAGTAAACAACTGCTTTCGATTTGGATTCGATTTAAGCGACTGACAGCCTTACTTGAGGGCTGAATTTCACAAATACTGTTATTTACAAATCACATTTTTCGTCATGTGCTTCAGAGGTTTCCCCTATCATCTAACAACCACAAGCAAAATAGACACATGAATTTTATTTATTATTTTATTTTGAGGCGGAGTCTGGCTCTGTCGCCCAGGCTGGAGTGCGGTGGCGCGATCTTGGCTCACTGCAACCTCCGTCTCCCAGGTTCTATTCTCCTGCCTCCGCCTCGAGTAGCTGGAACTACCAGCACCCACCACCACGCCCGGCTAATTTTTGTATTTTTCCTAGAGACAGGGTTTCACCATATTAGCCAGGCTGGGCTCGAACTCCTGACCTCAGATGATCCACCTGACTTCCCACAGTGCTGAGATTACAGTTGTGAGCCACCGTGCCTGCCTTGTTAATTTTAACCCCTTTACTAGAAGCTCCTATTAGTGAAATGGCTCCAGGGAAAAAAGCAGAATTAACCAGTACACTGGCTGTGCTTCGTTTATTACCGAGCACTGGTTGCTTTGCTTAAATACATCTTGCCCTCAGACCTGCCAAAATAGTATCTGAGTTGAGTAGGTGACCATAGTTTCAATGACCCATGAGCTATAAATATGCTTGCTTTGAGACATTAAGGCCAGGGATTTTGGAGAAGTAGGGTAGAGTTGAAATCGGGGGAAAGAAATTAACTTAGACATTTAATTTGGCAAATGTCTTTAATTTCTGTTTTCCAGCGGTCTCCATATCTGAGTATGTGTAGTCTGTGGATTTAGGATGGGTTATATATTTGAGCAGTTTAATGTTAATGTTTAATGTTAATAGTATCTCAGAGGGGAAAACAGAACAGACACCCAGCCTTTTCTCCCAAAGCTGACCTTATCTGATTCTTGTAGGAAGAAGATGCGAGCCAGCCCCATCCGTATCCCAACCGTTAGCAATGATATCGACTGGGGTTTCTGCTTCCGTTCGTAAGTATCATAGAATTTTAACATCACAGGTACTCACTCGTCTGAAACACTAAATCTCCTGCTTATGGCAAGCCTGGGTGAGGAGCTTTGCATGAACATTATATAAAAGAGAAGGGTTCACGACCAGCCGGGCCAACATGGTGAAACCTGGTCTCTACTGAAAATACAGAAATTATTCAGGCGGTAGTGGAGCGCCTGTAATCCCAGCTACTGGGAAGGCTGAGGCAGGAGAATCACTTGAATCCGGGAGGGGGAGGTTGAGACAAGCTGAAATCGCACCACTGCACTTCAGTCTGGGTGACAGAGACCCTGTCTCAAAAAAAAAAAAGAAGGTTGTATTTCTGTGATGTGCTTTAATAATGATTATTCTAATGCCTATTTGTATTTAAAACCTAAGCATAATAGAAGATTGCTTTATTTTTTTTAATTCAGGGAATTTTAAAAGTTTTTAAAAATAAAAATAGATTAGTTATGACAAGATTGGCAAAGTTGTGTCGACTTAACTATAACAAAGTTAATGAGAAAATTAAGTTTTATGAAATAGAGTAAATAAAACTTTAATATTGTCACATACTATGTGCCAGGCTCTGTTCTAAGTACCTTAAACATCTTAGCTGATTTAATCTCCCCAAACCCTGTGAAGGAGGTATTATTACTGGCATATTTTATAGCTGAATGTGAATCAAAGAGATACATAGGCAGTTTGCCCAAAGTTGCATAGCTAGTAAGTGGTATTTAAACTGGGCATTCTGACTCCAGAGTTCATTCTTGTTTTCTTTTGTTTTTAGAGACAGTCTAGCTCTGTCAGCCAGGCTGGAGTGCAGTGGTACAATCACAGCTCACTGCAGCATCAGCCTCTTGGGCTCAGGCAATCCTCCCACCTTAGCCTTCCGAGTAGCTGGGACTACAGGCATACACCACCATACCTGATGAATTTTTAAATTTTTGTAGAGATGGATTCTCATGATGTGGCCTAGGTTGGTCTTGAACTCCTGGGCTCAAGAGATCTTCCTGCCTCAACCTCCCAAAGTGCTGAGATTACAGGCATGAGCCACCGTGTCCAGCTGGAGTCCATTCTTTAACCATTCTCTATACCAGGGTTTCTCTGTCTCTGTACTATTGACATTTGGGTTGGATAACTTTGTTGTGGAGGGTTGTCCTATATAAGATTTTTATCAGCATCCCTGGCCACTATCCACTAGATACCAGTAGTGCTAACTCCAGTTGTGACAAGCAAAAATGTCTCCAGACATTGTTAAATTTCCCCTGGGGGCAAAGTCATCCTTAGTTGCAAACCATTGCTCTGTACCAGTGCCATCAAATAGAAATATAATGCAAGTCAGCCAGGCACGGTGGCTCACACCTGAAATCCCAGCACTTTGGGAGGCCAAGGCAGGTGGATCATAAGGTGAGGTGCTCAAGACCAGCCTGAGCAACATGGTGAAACCCTGTCTCTACTAAAAATACAAAAATTAGCCGGTCGTAGTGGCGCACATCCGTAATCCCAACTACTCAGGAAGCTGAGGCAGGAGAATCACTTGAACCCAGGAGGCAGAGGTTGCAGTAAGCCAAGATTGTGCCATTGTACTCCAGCCTGGGCGACAGAGCAAGACTCCATCTCAAAAAAAAAAAAAAAGAAATATAATGCAAGCTACATATGTAATTTAAAATTTTCTGCTACCCACATTAAAGAAACGAAACACATGAATTTAATTTCAATACTATATTTTCTTTATTTCAATATATACAAAATATGCTAAAATTATTACTTTATTATCTTTTTATACTCTTTAAAATAGAGTGTATATTTTACATTGACAGCACATCTCAATTCAGACTAGCAATATTTCATGTGCTTGATAGCCAGCCACATGTGGCTAGTGGTTACCATATTAGATAGTGTAAATTTTTTTTTTGGAGGCAGAGTCTTGCTTTGTCACCCAGAATGGAGTGCATTGGCACGATCTTGGCTCACTGCAACCTCTGCCTCCTAGGTTCAAGCCATTCTCATGCCTCAGCCTCTGGAGTAGCTCATTTTGGTATTTTTTAGTAGAGACAGGGTTCTGCCATGTTGGCCAGGCCGGTCTCAAACTCCTCACCACAAGTGATCCATGCGTCTCCATTTCCCAAAGTGCTGGGATTACAGGCGTGAGCCACTGTTCCCATAAATTTAAATTCATAAAATATCTTGTGGTTAAGGATTATATGCCTATAAAAATTGAAGTTCACAAAAATGCTAAGTTCACAGTAAAATATCTGGGAAATAATGAGATAATTTATATTGGACATTACTGATCAGAATTCCTATTTATGATGGTAACATATGGAAGAAGTCATAAGCCTGGCAAGGCAGACCTTTCATTCAACCTCCTATTATTTTTATTCTGACCATCCTTAGAGATGTCTCACTGGTCAGGGTTCTCCAGCCATCCTTGTCACCTTTTATAACATGATGTTCAAATCTAGTTCAGGGATTTACATTCTCAAAGTATTTGTCAAGACCTCAATGTTTCTCATTCCTTTGAAGTCCCTGAGGTTGAAACTTGCTTTCTTTGTTCTTAGCTTAACATTATTCAAGTCTTAATTTAAAACGTTTCAGGCTTATAATTTTTAATATCCATAATTTGCAATCTATTTGGTGATTCCAGTAGATTTAACTTTTGCTCTAGGTCTCTGAAATATGCAGCTTAAGCAAAATTTTCTACTGAGGTATATTCTCTTTTTTTTTAAACTGCTCCTTGCAGAGCAAGGCTAGCATGCCCAGAGCCAGCCAACTTATGATCTTTTGCCACAGATTTCCTCTCTCCTCAATGTTTTTCAAACATTCTAAAGACCGATCATTCTTTTCTCATTCATTTGTTCATCATTTAATAGGCCATTATTTGTTTTTACTATGAGCCAGATATCAGGTTTTCAGAAACAAATGAGGCTCAGCCCCTGCCCTGGTGGAGTTTACTTTGCCAGGAGGCAAAGAAGACTCAGAAACAAACCAAAGAAAAAACAATTAAAAAAAATTAAAATTATAAAAACAGTAAAAAAAAATCACAGTGTAGTAGCAGTTTAGGGGAAATTTTTGAAAGCCCTTTGGAGGCTGCCTTTATTGCTACTCTAATGAAAGCCTTCCAGGAGTGATGACATCTGACTTGTGTCTTGAAGGAGGAGTATGGAATTCACCAGGCAGAGAAAAGGAAGTGTATCACCTGTCTTCTGATTGGGTTGTGTAGCCAACCTTCCCTGGCTGTCCCATCAAGTTAGCTTGTCTACTGAAAGCACATTCGTCTGTGGGCAGAAGGCGAGCCTGCCTGCTCCTGGGCCTGAAGAAATGTTGCTCTCCTATGTACACAACCTGGTTTGCCCACATTCCTCTTGATAAGTTAATTAGAATAGGAATCTAAAAGGATATCAGCATGCCATTTTTGAAACCTGGAGTAAAAGATTACACTTGGCAGTTATTTTCTTTTTGTGCTTTTCTGAATTTTCTTTTTTATTTAAACATTGAACATTCACTATTTAAGCAATTAGCAGAAAAGAAAGGTAAAGTTTTAAAACTACATAGTGGTTGAACTTTTGAGTTCTTGTGAGTACAAAGATAGATGAGTCCTTTGGGAGACTTATTTACGCTTAAAATTTCTACTGTTGCTCTTTTTTTTTTTTTTTTTTTTGAGACGGAGTTTCACTCTTGTTACCCAGGCTGGAGTGCAATGGCGCGATCTCGGCTCACCACAACCTCCGCTTCCTGGGTTCAGGCAATTCTCCTGCCTCAGCCTCCTGAGTAGCTGGGATTACAGGCAGGCGCCACTATGCCCAGCTAATTTTTTGTATTTTTAGTAGAGACGGGGTTTCACCATGTTGACCAGGATGGTCTCGATCTCTCGACCTCGTCATCCACCTGCCTCAGCCTCCCAAAGTGCTGGGATTACAGGCTTGAGCCACCGCGCCCGGCTTCTACTGTTGCTCTTAAGATCTCAAAATTCTGTTTCTTCTGTAGTACTTTATTGATTTTTCTGGTGATGTTAGGATATAGTTCTTTTTAACACAACTAAGAATATTTCTCCTCCAAATCTGCACTAGATGCACTATGGGGTTCCCTCCCTCTCTCTGGTGGGACCCATGTCCTCATTTCTTGGCCACCACACGTTGAAGCTTTTAAGATATGTGAAAGAAGACATGCAAAGTATAGCCTCAAAGTGTTGGTTTCCTTTCCTTTATTTCATTACATCCATTTTCTTTTCTTGTTTCGATCAGAAGTTCAGAACACAGGTGTTCTTAGGGATCCTCCAATCCAACACCCTTGTTTGTAGATGAAAAAGCCCTGTCATGGAGCTAATGATAATTAATACTAGTAGGTAACAATAAAGAACACATGGTAAATGCCACACACTGTGCTAAGTGATTTATGAGTATTATCTCATTTAATCCCATGCCCTCATCAAGTAGGCATTCATATTCTCATTTTACAGAGAGGTAAATTAATAACTTGGTTAGGGTCATGTGGTTAGTAAGCAGCAGAGCTGCAACTTTATAAATCAGCTTAATTTGAACCACCACATTGCTCTCTTAATGCTAGGCTTTGAGGGTGACATGAGTTTACTGCCTGGCTTTATTCTTTGAAGTTTATGTTAGAAGGCATGTCCCTATCCCCCGGATGGGAGAGCAGCTATGCCCTTCAATTTTACCTTGTTTGAGATGACAAAATTTAAATCCTGAATCTCTGCCTCTCTCATACCTACAGGTCACAGCAAACCGAGATCCCAGCTCATCAGCAAACAGATGAGTTGTCTCCCACTGGTGGGTCTGAGGAGAGTGAAGAGGAAACGAAAGAGGAGGAGGAGGCCATAGACTGTATGTCTCATCCCAAAGAGAAATTAGCTCAATCCCAGAAGAGAGTAGCTCAGCTGATTAAGGAAAAAATGGTAAAACAAAAAACTCACTAAAATTTTGTTTCCATTTAAAAGTAGGTTCATGATTAGCGAAGCTTTGCCTTAAATACAGATTGAAGCATATGAAACAGAGGAAGGCGTCATATTTCTTTGTGAGTAGGAGTAAACAAAGCAGAGCGTACTTAGGTAGGCATCCCACCTTCTGGTTCCATGCATGGTTCATTGTCAGTTCCTCCTTGGGGCATTTGTGCTCCAAGCTTTAAACTAAAAATTAGGCTGGGAACAGTGGTTCATACCTGTAATCCCAACACGGTGGGAAACTAAGGCGGGAGGATCTCTTGAGGCCAGCCTGAGTAACATAGTGAGACCATATCTCTACAAAATATGAAAAATCAGCCGGGCATGATGGAGGGAGCCTGTGGTGCCAAGCCACTTGGGAAGCTGAGGCAGGAGGATAGCTTGCGTCCAGGAAATTGAGGCCATAGTGAGCCGTGATTGTACCACTTCATTCCAGCCTGGGTGACAGAATGAGACCTTGTCTCTAAAAAAAAAAATTAAATTTTAAAAAACCCTAAAACTGATAATTTGGTTATTTTTGTTACTGTTACCTCTAACTTAAAATTAAAATATATATATATATATATATATATATATATATATATATATATATTCTGGAAGGTTTCAGGATGCTATATTTTAGGTAGCAAAAAGGCTGGGATAGTAAGGCAGGTGGTTGAGAATAGGGTAGCCAGGCAGGTCTAAGCTCAGGCCTGGAAAGGATATGGGTCAGATGCCTTTGGTTACAGTGGAATCATAAACAAAACAAAGGGCCAGAAACAGGAGGTAGCAGCAGAGATCAAAGAGTGCAAGTATGTGTTTCTAAGAGCAAGTCAAAGACTTGAGTCAAAGATCTCAGAGCAGATATGTAAGCATGAATGTTCAAGATCCAGGAACCTGAGACAGCAAGATATCGACTCTCATTATTAGAACACAGGCACCAGCCTGCTTCCAGAGCATGATTTATCAACAGAAGAGTTTGTACCTTGACTTCCTGACTCCTCCTAGTCAGGAAAAAAAAGTAATCTAGAGAGGTTTTATTTTCTATCATTTGCCTGTGAGGTATCTCTCTAGATGGATATTTATAAATTTATCTCTGTAAATGACCCAAAGACCTTGCAAAGGATAATCATCCTGGCCTGGACCCATTAGTGATTCACAAATCCAGGCTACAAGGATCATTTCTAAAAACAGACAAGTACCATCTGCCATGTAGTATAAGTGGGGGGTTTTAAGTCTTGAAAACTCCTTGGCCAGAGTGGATAATGACAAAGATTTAGATCTTAGGAGAGAAATCTAACTCAAATCCCAAACTCATCAAATTGTATGTAATGAACATGTATAGTTCTTTGTATATCAGTTATATCTCAATAAGGCTTTCTTTTTTTTTTTTTAATCTAACCAACCCAGTACTCCTAGCCCTAAAGGGTAGGGGTAACCACATCAGCAGCATAGCACTGGGGTGACATCTGGAGCCCATATTGGTTGTCCCCATTTCTCCAAGTCAAGAAGCTCGAGGATAAATATACAATGTCCAGAGCTAAAGCTTTAGTCTCTCATTCTAGTGATTTTTTGATGGTATGATGCTTCCTCCTCAAAAGAGATCTTAGTATTTGCTGTGGTCAGTCCCTGGTGAACTTTCAAAAATGCTGACTATATGGATGTTTTGGAAGCATCAGGGGAAGTGTCCTTCTACCATTGCTTGCTTCTGTATATCTGAGCAGGGGGCAGATAAAACATGAAGCTGGGTAGAACATAGAAATCAGGAAGGAGTGTATTCCTTGGAATCACCTGTGGTACTGTTGTATCTTACATTACTCTTTAAATGTGTTAATTACCTGTATATTACTCTTCAAATGGGTTACATTTAGATTGCACTTACCAACATTGAATCATTTTTTTTCCTTATGGTAACTCCATGAGGTAGATAATACAGTTTTCCCACCCTCATAAAAGGAAGCTGAGATCGAGGTGACTTTCCCCAAAGCAACACAGTCAGTAAACAAACGTTAGAACTATGGCTGAAACTTTAGGGTTTTGATTCCTTGAAGTGTTATTTTCACTTTACCAAGAAAAAAATGCCTGACCATTTTGACTGCTGTAGCCAATAATGACTGTGTTTGTAAAGTCACTGAAATGTATGACTTGAAGATGCAGTTCTGTGATTTCTTAGAGAGCTCTACATGTCAGTTCTATAGGGTAGGGAGACTATTTCCCCAACTCCATCTTTATCCTTGCTAATAGATGATCATTCAGCAGGTTATACCTGTATGCAATGGGCAGCTAACAGTGAACATGAGAAATAAACTTCTGTTTTCAAGGGACTTATATTCTATTTGGGGAGATAATAGACAAAAATAATGGCTAATACAGTATCAGGTAGAAGTAAGTGCCATGAAGTAAAAATAAAATAGGTAATGGGGTATTGAGTGATGAAGTGGAGTCTATTTTAGATAAGCTGGCTAAAAAAAGGCCTGTTGATAAGAAAAGTGAAAATGAAATGAAAAAGTGAATGACATGGAAGAGTATACCAAGTGGAGGGAACAGCACATGCACAGCCCTGCACTGGAAGTTATTTGGCGATGTTCAGAAACCACCACTGGTCAGTCTATTCTAACAAATGAATTAGGAGGAGAGAGTGGTAGAAAATGAAGTTCAGAGGTGATTGGGGTTGGATCAGATTATGCAGAGCCTTGGAGGCCATAGTAAGAACTCTGAATTGTGTTAGAACAAAAAAGCAGGAAGCTGTTGGAGGATTTAGAACAGGAAAGTCATGATCTAATTTACATCTTAATATTACACTGACACATAAAATATGTTTAAAAGTCCATACGTTTCTAATAATAATAAATAAGCTATTTGGCCACAATTAGAGGATGCTAGGGAACAAATTCGTTTTTCTAAAAGCTATTAAAGAAAGCGCAAGGATAAATCATGTGTCCTGCCTTTCCAATGTGAACTGTACTATTGGGTAACAAAAGAGTAGAGGAGAAGAAATTCTTCTTGTAGAATTATTTGAGATAATGTATGAAGGAGGAGTGATAGGATTAGAATATTAGGATTTTATAATCTTTTATTAATTTTCCATGTAGTTTTTCTAATATCTGAAAAAATAAAAAAAACAGATAGTAGATGTAGTCTGCTGGAAGACCATACCATTAGCCATGAAGTCGTTTTGTGAAAAAAAAGAATTCAAAGCTAAAATTAACCACACTTCTAAATCCAACCGCTAATATAAAGGTAGAACAGAGAATGGAAGGACATGATGAGACACCACGAGGACACAGTCATCAAAATTTATGTCTGTGGGAAATAATTAGACCAAATGACTCAGCTTTTTCAAATAATTTATAAGAAAAAGAATTAGAAATGGAAAGGTAGCCTGTAGATGAAAAGAGACTGAAGAGACTGATCTCACAGTGTGGACAGTCACACTATTTAAAAAATTAGATGTCTGTGATTAGATATTTGATTTTAAGGAATTATTGTTATATTTTGGTGAGATAATGTTTTATTGTTATTTTTCTAAGTCCATATCTTTTAGAGGTACTTATGAAATGTTTATGGAGAATGTCTGATTTGCTTCAGTATAAGGTAAGGATGGGTAGATGATGGGTCTAGATATGAAACGAGATTGGCCAGGAGTAGATCACTGATCAAGTTACATGATTCATTCTTCATGCTGTCTATATTTATATATTAATAAATTTTTTATGATAAAAGGTTAAAAGAAGTAACTCTGGCTAGAAAGTATTATGTAGAAAGTAGACTTTAGGGGCCAGAGAGGAAGCAATTGGAAGGACTGCTGTGGCCAGCCAGGTAAAAGGTGAAGGTGGCCTGGACTAGGTACTCATGGCAGAAATGAGGAGAAGAGCTTTGTTTTAGGATTTAGGGGGAATGTGGATCCAATCAGACCTGATGAATTGGACACAGGATGAGAAGAAAAAAGAAGAGAAAGAAGATGACAGGTAAATTCAGTCCTGTGTTCCAGTGACAAGTCCATGAGCTAGAGACTTCTCCTCCTTTCCAAAAAATATAATCATTTCTGTAACCTACAGAATACTCAAGCAAACAAGGAGCTGATTCGATGTGTCATCCTTTCTCGGATTATTTTTGGGGACCATCACTGGAAATGTGCACGAGCTGTGACCAAGCTAGCCTATGGCTACTTGACATTGAGAGGTACTTGGTTTCCCCAGCTGGGTTTGGGTGGACAGCCTTTGAAGGCTGAACTGAGCCCCCACAACTTCAGTGAGGGTGGGCATGACTAGGAGGGCCCCTTCTTGCCCCTAATTCACACATTACCAGGAAGGAAAGTCCATGGATGAGGAAGACAGTGTGACAAGGATCTTAGTAATAAAGATAGTGATGATCCTGAGTTATCGAGTATTTAGCATGTGGCAAACTAGTCTCATTAGTCCTCACAATATTCCTTGGAGGGAGATACTGTTATTGTCCTCAGTTTATGGATGAGGACACTGGGGCACAGAGGGCAAAGACAGTATCCGGGGTTCTAGCCATAGGACAGTAGGAGAAGGACAGGCAGGGATGTACACTCAGCATCAGGGAGGCAGACCCAATAATGGGACTTAAATTCCAAAGTTAGAACTTCCAAGTTCCTGGAAGGTTTGGCTTAGTGAAAGGTAAGGAGGGCCCTCATCCTAGAGAAACGGTACTTCTGGAAGGTACTCTAGTGTAAGGGAATAAGACAGGAATCTATTTGCTAAAACTGGAACCCAAGTGAAAGTTCCATGAGAGTAGAAACTTTGTAATAGAGGCTGAATAAATACTGGGTGATACACTGAGGAGAGAGCACATTTCTGGAGCCAGGGATATAGCCAGCTCAAGGCTCTCTGTTCCTTGACCAGACATGTCCCCTTGTGTGGACTGCATACATTTCTACCGTGGAAATCATTGTACTGTGCTCATATATGCTTTAAATGCTTCTGCCTCTGACATCGAAGCTCCCTCAGGGGAGGGACTGGTCTCAGTTGATCTAGAGCAGTCCCTTGTACACAATATGGATCAGCATATTACTGCTTAGAACTGAACCACTGGCCTAGGGCTTGTCCAAGTACTTCAGGGACCTCAGTCTGAAGCGGGGCCTAATTTGTAATACAAATTAAGTGCTTTATGGGCTTAAGTGATTTGAAGGCTACAGGATAAGCAAAGCAATATTCTTGGGCCATAATGAGGCTAGATATCAGAAAGCAAAGCTTTTGAAAAAATTAAAATTGAATTCACTTCTCAATTATTAATCCCAAAATATATTCTTCTTAGGGCTCTGTAGGCCCTTTTATACCCATTTGTTTTTCATGCAACTTTAGATTCTTCATTGATGTGGCAGGATCACGAGTAACCAACATCACAGCATTAGGACACTGATGCTGTGGGGCACAGTGGGGCACAGTGAGGCCCTTTTATGCTTTAAGAACACATGTGTTGTGTTCCGAAAGAAGGTGCTGTGGCTAGGGAGAGGAGAACGTCCTTACTTACTGGCAGAGCAGGCAGCCACCTCTGTGAGATTTGAGAGTCAGCAGGAAGGATCTTCCCCTAGGGGTTCCATCCTTCCTTAATTGAAATCTCTCTATTCCCCTGAGACCGATTTTCTCAAAAACTTGCTACCTTAATGATTAAAAGTCAAATTTAGTGATTTGCTACTTCAGTACTTACAGAGTTCTTGTTATAAGCCTGGTGGTACTTGCGCTCAATGCTGGGATACATAAATCAATACTGGTGGTCCCTATGCTCTAGGACATACAGGGGTCTTATGATAGATACCATTCTAGAGGTAGGAACAAACTGAGGAGTTTGACAAATGAGGCAGTTCAGTGGTTTTGCCATTGAGGAAAGTCAGGAAAGGCTGCAGAGAGAAAGTAATATTTGTCCTGTCTTTGAAGGATGAGAATAGGTTTATCAACTAGATTTTTTTATTTTTTATATTTTTATTTTGTAGAGATGGGGTCTTGCTATGTTGACCAGGCTGATCTCAGACTCCTGGCCTCAGGTGATCCCCCCACCTCAGCCTCCCAAAGTGCTGGGATTATAGGCATGAGCCATGGCACCTGGCCCCCAAGTAGATTTTTGAGGGGAGAAGTAGAGAGTACAAAGTTGGTCCTTTATATGTGTTGATCTAAGGCATAGGAAGTGAGAGGAGGGCACTCTATATAAAACTCCTTACACAGAATATTGTAGCTTCTTTGTAGATCCAGGAGGTTAAGATAAGAGAGAAGATACCTTAGGACAGACAGCTCATGCTGGATTTCCAAGCATGAGTGAAAAGGTAATTTGGGCCCAGGAACCAGCGAGTTTGGCGAGTTATTAAAAGGTGAAGTGAGGTGCCAATAATCAAGCTTGTGTTATAAAATGAGACTCAAGGATGGGTTGGACTGGTAGAGAAAGAAGAGGTGAAGACCAGTTAGGCCATTAGCCTGCCCAGATGAGAGTTGATGAGGGCATTGGCTATGGCCGTAGGAATGCAGAAAAGATAACCTAAAATGTAGAATTGGTGACATTTAGTGGCCCATTCAGTATGGAGTGGGAAGGACAGGGAAGAGTTGAAGTTGAAGCAGGCATGACCTGGACAATTAACTGAAATAGATAATTAAAGGGAAAGACCAAGTGGTGGAGTGTATTAGTCTGTTCTCATACTGCTAATAAAGACATACTCAAGACTGTCATTTATAAAGAAAAAGAAGTTTAATGGATTCACAGTTGCACATGGCTTGGGAGGCCTCACAATCATGGTGGAAGGACGAGGAGGAGCAAAGGCATGTCTAACATGGCAGCAGGCAAAAGAGTATGCAGGAGAACTGTCCTTTATAAAACCATCAGATCTCATGAGACTTACTCACTGTCACAAGAACACCATGGGAAAACCCTGCCCCCATGATTCAATTACCTCCCATGACATATGGGGATTATGGGAACTACAATTCAAGATGAGATTTGGGTGGGAACATGGCCAAACCATATCATGGAGGAAGGGGGAAGAAGCCTCTGAGTTTGGTTTCTGACAGGCTGGATCACATCTGTTCAGTAGGCAACTGAAAGCGGGTCTAGAGCATTGGTAGGCAACTGAAATGTTCAGTAGACAACTGAAACCAGGTCTAGAGCTCAGGAAAAATGTTAGTTTGGGAGAGATGAGCACATAGAAACCCGTTGAGGCCAAAGGAGTAGATGAGCTTGATCAAAAGTAGTGTGTAGAGGCTGGGTGTGGTGGCTCATGCCTGTAATCCCAGCACTTTGGGATGCTGAGGCAGGTGGATCACTTGAGGTCAAGAGTTCAAGAACAGCTTGCTCAACATAGTGAAACCCCGTCGCTACTAAAAATAAAAAAATTAGCCAAATGTAGTGGTGTATGCCTGTAGTCCTAGCTACTTGGGAGGCTGAGGCAAAAGAACTGCTTGAACCCTGGGAGGTGGAGGTTGCCGTGAGCTGAGATCACACCACTGTACTCCAGCCTGGGTGACAGAGAGGGGAAGAGAACAGAGGACTGAAGACTGGAGAGCAAGAGCTTTAGGAATGAGGAAGGGAAAAAGGGGCCAGCAAAGGAAATAGAAGACTCAGGAGGAGCCGTGTCATGGAAGCCAAGGGAGGAGAGAGGGTTTTGAAAAGAAGTGCAGTGTGGTTTCAGCAGTTCAGATGGTGGAGTAAGGTCAAATAAGGTAAAGGCTGAGGAAAGACCCATGGATTTGGCAGCTGATAGGTCATTGCAACTTGGTTTGGCAGAGATAAGTACACTCCTTGGGAGTCTATTTGAGGTGATGAACTTGAACTGGAGAGGAAGGCATTTGAACCGGAGATTTCTCTGAGCCTAGAGCAGGGCCAGATGCTGCCTTTTCTGTCTTGCATTGAAGATGACTAGGGTAGGTCTAGAAGGAGGTTGGCCTAGATTTTCTAAAATCAACTCCTTCCATAATGAGCCACAAACTGCCTTTGAGTTTTGCTTTTCCAATTAGATTCCAAGTTAAGTCAAGATAAGTAAACAGGTTATATCACAAAAGATCATGATAAATCCTTTTCTCTCTAACTCAAGGTTTTTCTTGCTGCATGAATAGAGAACTAAGTTGAGGCGATAAGTTGGAGGAGAAACAAGTTTTCCTGTTCGAAAGAGTTTTTTTGTTTTTCCTAGATGGGAAAAACAGTCTGCTGGTCAGGATGAAGTACCCACGTGGTATATTGGAGGCTAGACTTGAACTCAGATTTTCTGACACCAGCCTAGAGTTTTCTTTAGAATAGGTTATGACTGTAAGCTTTCTTTGAGAATAGCCCAGTGCCCCTTATTTCAGTCATAATTTGGTTTCTTCACTTAAGCTTTTATTTCAGTTTCTTCACTTAAACTTTTTTAGTGTCTGGTCCATGGAATAAAATAAGTAAGGCTTTGAAAAATGGCAGATCTTCAAGAGAGATGAAGTGCTTGCTCAGCTGTGCTTGGTGGTGTCATTCATCCTTAACTGCTTTAAAGTGGACAGAATATATGAGCTGGCCTCCTGTGTAGGCGGATGTGTGTGTATGTCTGTGTGTGTTCATGCTTCACTGCACCCATACGTGTTTTATAGTCATCAACCCTGCTTTCCTCATTTCACTCTGAGCCTTTTCCAGCAGCCAAACACTGATTTCTCTCAATAAACAGTCACTCAGTGAGTATTTAGTGAGAAACTTGTATATGAGAAATGCCGTGAACACTTTGGGAAATGTAACATAAAAAAGCCCTCAAAGATTTTACAACTGAGTGTAGAAGGTGAACTACCTGGAGACATAACTATGAGGGAAGGCATTATAAGGTAAATGCCATGTAATTGATTTAAATAACGGGCTTAGGGAAGATTGGGTGAAATCATTTCTGGCTGAGATAATAGATTCAAGGGTTGTAAAAAAGGAGTAGGGTTTGAGTAGGTGGAATAAGGGGCAAGCATTTCTGATGAAGAGGAAGGTGTGGGCCAAGGCATGAGGAAGGAAAGTGCAATGTCTGTGGAGCAGCAGTAAGCAGCCTTGTCTGGTCAAGGTTAGGACTGGTGAGATGAACCTAAAAAGGAGAAGGGTACATTGGGCAGGCTATGGTGTGGTTTTAAATACAGGCTAAGGAATTTGTCATGTGTTTTATAGGCGAGAAGCACTATTAGAGATTTTCCAGCAGGATGATAAAAATATCAAAGTGTGCTTTTGGTAAGGTTAATCTA